CAAATCAAACAACAAGTGATGGTGAGGCTGTAGAGAAAAGGGAACCCTAGTGCACTATTGGTGGGAATGCAGACTGGTGCAGCCACTGTGGAAAACAGTATGGGATTTCCTCAGAAAACTAACAATGGAACCACTTTTGACCCAGCAATTCCACTACTGGGATTATACCCTAAGAACCCTGAAACACCAATCAAAAGAATCTATGCACCCCAATGTTCATAGCAGCACAATTCACAATAGCCAAGTGTTGGAAGTAGCTTAAGTGCCCATCAGTAAATGAGTGGGTCAAAAAACTGTGGTACATTTACACAATGGAATACTATGCAGGAAAAAGAAAGAAGGAGCTCCTACCCTTGATGGCAGCATGGATGGAACTAGAGAGCATTATGCTGGTGAAATAAGCCATGTGATGAAAGAAATACCATATGATCTCACCTATGTGTGGAACCTAATCAACAAAACAAACAAGCAAGCAAAATACAACCAGAGTTATGGAAATAAAGAACAATCTGACAGTAACCACAGGGGGAGGAGGAGATAATGAGACAAAGAAGGTGAAAGGTCATCAAGGAACACATATAAAGGAACCATAGACAAAGACAGTGCAGTTGGAGGAGGATTGAATGTGGGGGTTGAGGGTGGGTAGGCTGGAGGTGATTAATAGGGGAAAAATAGGGACAACTGTAATTGAACAACAATAAAAAATAAAATAAAATAAAATTGGTTATTTTATAATTAAGAGATAGAATTTTCTTTATCAGTGTTTGGAATGCAAACAGCTACTCACTATACATTTCCTAAAACAATCTAAAATTTTCTTGGTTTTCTTAGCCTAAACTCAGTAAACCCAGTCCTCTATTTGCTCAGTATGCTGGATATAGTGCCTTACCCATTAGTGGTCACCTCATTTTGAAGAGTTTTGGAGAACACAGAGCTCACAGTAAATTACAGAGGCTTTCTTTTACTTTGTTTTCTGGCCAACTAATTTGCATTAAAATGGAATATTGGTAATACAATGTGCAGTATATACCAGGCACACCTTTTTTTATGTTTCCCTACTGAGAGTGTATAATGCATTATGTTAGGTTGCCATTTGATATACAACTGCATGCCTATGAAGCACCAGGAAAGAAACAATTCTTCCGTAGATGACAGATGGACACCTAACCTGGGGAAAATGACTATAGGACATGGCCTTTTTATCACAGTTTTTCAGTTTTAAGGTGACTTACTCATACAATACACAAGATGCAGCTTTGTATGGTTGGCATACACTGACTTTTCTAGAGGATTAATTGCCCATTTCCAGGTTACACACCACAGACTTGAGTCCTTCAGTCTATCTCACATCAAGTTTGGTTTCAGCCTTACCTATGATATGCTAATTCTTCAGTTATTGCATTTGACAAAGTTTTCAGTAAGAAGGAAATTAGTGGTGTAGCTTTAGCTATGGATCTGAAACTTTGTGACATTCAGGTATTCCATGGATGATGTGCTTTATATATAGTTGCTAAATAGATGATTGCACAAATGAATTTTAAAACATTACAATAATGGGTTTAATTCATTCCCTGTAGGACTCAGTTGGGAAGATTTTGAGATGAATGTCAAATCAATTTATGCTCAGAAATGACATAAAGCTTCTTGCTCTTAAGACCGTGGGGAAGCCCTCACATTGGTATGAGTTGGTTAACCTGATATTCAGAATATGCAGAAGCATGTTAGAGCTAAACCATGTATTTATAGTCTCTTGGTGACAGATTGGAATATTGTTTTAATTTGAGCCATCCTTCCTCCAGAGAATACACATTTTCACATGACTACATTACTCTTTTAAGCTCATGCTATGACCAGGCCACCCTCTGTAACAGAAGAATCCTTGCACCTTCACAGGAGGCATATTTTATAAAGAAAAGCATTTGATGATCAAAGAGACTCTGTTAGCATATACACACCCAAACTGTGGTGGATTTGGAAGCTAATTTTTGGGACTAACATCTCAGGCTTTAGTGCTACATTAATTGTGTTTACAAACAATAGAATGCCTTGATGAATTCCTACTCTGTGAGGATATACTAGATTCTCTAGGCTTTCTTATTCACTGTAATATGTCACCTCATAAATTAATAAAATGGAAGTAGAGGAAGATGATGGCAAATCACATTTCCCATCCTCTAAGGAAATGGTTTTGCACAGTATCTCCAACAAGCATACAAAACCACACAGATGCTTCCCCCATCTTCCTCTCTTTGATATCCAAAAACACAACAGGCATATTGGAAAGGATAACCACTCACAAAGCCCTTCATATCATCTCAGGTAAATACACAATGTTTTAAACTATTGACTTTTTAAAGGACAGGCTGCTGTGTTCACCATGTAAACTACTCTAGTATCAGTAGTGTTGGGAGAATCACACAGGTTAGAAAGTTAATTTGGTTCGTTCTGGGTCTCCTGAAGCTCTCCAATCATATCACATGCACACCTGTTTCTTCCACCTGTGTTTCCAGAATGGAAATGCAATCACCAAAATCATTCCATTAGCTCTCCCAGCAATAATATCTAACATGTCCTTCTTTATCATAATGTAATGCTAACTTTGTACCCTCACCTTATGAGGGTCAGACCACTGATTTTTATGCATTAGTATTTAACACTATAAATATAGATGTTTTTATTTTAAAAAGTTAATGATTCTCAATCTCTGCTTCAAAGAAGGCATGAATCCAAGCATGAAATATTATCATCAGGAGATTGTAAGCTATTATAATGTGAAGAGAGATGAATATGTATTTGTTATATATACATATAACATATTATCTTCTAACTTACACTGTAGCCTGGTCCATACAAGTCTAGAGAATAAATATATATTTTCTACCAAAATATTTTTAATGTAAATACAGAGAATTGTAAATAAATCACAAAATTCAGATCAGACATTGCTGTCATTGTTTCTAATGGCATTTTTTCATAAACAAGTTTGTAGCTTGATATTTTAAAAACATTAAATGGTGACTTTTACAGAATTAAACATAGGGGACTGATTAGGTACCAAAAAATTAGAAGAGAGAGAAGAAGGAAGAATGAAAAGGAGGAAGGAAGGGAGGAAATAAAGAATATTTCACTTTTGTGTATGACAAGAGCTGGGTTTTGACCCTGAACCAGTGTGTATCTTGCCTTTCAAAAGCTTCAGTGTCCTTTCCTAAGTCCATTTTGACCTGAAAGTTTATTTTCTTACACCAAATGCTACCAACTAGTTGCAGGTTGACATAAACCCTTACATCATATCATTTAATGGGCAGTGAGTATGAATACCAGTTTTACTTTAATGTGTAAGACCACCAAGGTGCAAGCCTCATTATGAGCTGGGACACTCCTCAGTGATTGGTACCATCATTCTCATATCTGATAGCATTAACACTGAATTCTTACATGGCAGCAATGCAATGGTAACTGTTCTATTATAACCTCACTTTTAAATGTTTTATAAGAAGTTCCAAACCATACCATATGCAAACCAGTGTCATCTAAGTAATAAGCCCTTTATCTAAGAATGTTATCTTCACATTTTAGCTGAATTGTGATTCATATCACAAACTAAATATTGGATTTTTAAAATAGTATCTTTAAAAGGATACCCAAATAATCTATCACTCACATATATCTCTGGAAAGAGAAAATGCCTCTTTCATTCTCTCCTCTCAATGATATTATTGCAGGTAAGGCACTTTAAGTTTATAGCTTGTTGGTTCAGTGCACTCTCACCAGGGTGTTAATGAGCCCAACACCATGGAGGCCAGTTAGCTTTCTTTGCTTTGTATACTGACCACAGATTACTGGGAGTCAGTCAGGATACCAGCACAGATGAAAAAGACATCATCGCAAAATCTCAGCACTTCTCACAGTCCATCCTTCTCATGGGACAGACAGGTGTCTTACTTTCATATCATCATCTTAGGGAGGGAATGAATAGTAGCTTGGGAGCCTCCAACATTTACTTCTGAACAGAGAGGCCTGCCATTTAGGCATTAACTTTGCAATATAATCCCCCATCATTGATTTTCCCTGTAACCTTCATCAGTAAAGCAGAGATAGTAGGATAGAATGAAATGGGCTTACCTCCTAGGGATGTTGTGAGAATTAGCCAATTAAGGAGTGTGAAGTGTCAGCATTTATGTAAGTGCCTGTGGTTGCCATTGTTTCTACTCTCATCCTAAACAGAGACTCTTAAGTATATTATGCTTTTGTCAGAAAGGGATTTTCACCCACATCAGTTGTGTTTAAGCTGAGCATAAAACAAAGGTAATAATAACATAGTAGTGATCATCTCAATGCAGAGCTGTAAATTTTTTTCCTATTAAAGCTAAAACTATTTTCAGCAACTTTTAATACTTTAAAAGATTGCTTTCCAAGCTTTGTGCCAACAGTTATCTCTACAATGATAATTTTTCCTGTGATGGTTGAGGGGAAGGGGACATATTCATTATTCATTCCTATTATGACTGTATAATGCATTGAACTTGTTTACATCATACAATCAGGCAAAGACTCGGTAGCTGATTTGATTGCCACATATTGCAATCATTGTAAAAAATTTTTAAAAAACACCTCTCTTCTGCTCTGCCATGCTGGTGTCCTGTAGAGGTTGCCAATATACAGATTGAAAACGCATGGGGAATTGAAGTAGTTACCAAGAAGTTTTATTGTCACCTGCTATTTCCAAGGAGATTGTGCTTGAGAAAATTCTTCCATTTCTTGTATCACTCTGACTTCACTTACCAAGAATAGCTATTTAGTGCTGATTGCAGAACTCCTGAACTCAGCCTGGCAGCTGCAGTGTGAGATTCTCAGATCTGGGCTCCTTGTTACTTATTTACATATTCATTGGAAGTGATTTCTTTCATGACTGTTTGAAACCCTCTCTTGACCTGACATCTTGTAATAGCTGACACCTAAAACTCACCATGTTTTTGGTTCTTTTTCTTTTTGTCTTACAGATAATAGACGGGTACCTTTGGAAAGGTCACGCTCTCGCCACAATGGAGCTATCTCATCTAAGTAATTCCTGATGCCAAAGAATATAAAAATATTTAAGTATACAACATCACTCATTTTGAGAAAGACAAAACATGCAGTCAAGGGATGGAGAGGAAATATATGCACTTCTGCAAAGATCAAGCTAAGCCGTATGACATAGCCTACATTTGTAAAGCTACTGCCAGACTCCTCACACTATTAGACTAATATGAACATAATTATTGAGGTTATAAAATGTGTGTTCTCTTTTAGTGTAAAGATGTGTATTACTTGTTATTGTGTGTGACCTGATGGTGATGGTGAAAAGTGTAAGAAACTAAAGAGTTCTAAGACTTTCAAAAATATCCAGTTTGTCAAAATTTACAATGTTACTCATATTTGCAGGTCACCCCCCAAAAAAGGAAGAAAAGAGAGGAGAAGAATAGAAAGAAATAATTTCTCAATGTCTGTTTCTGATTCTTGTTACACAGGAAATGAAAAGGCTAATGAAACTATGCATATTAATGATCTGGAGAGGCACTAATGTTGCATACTCTGTAAGAGAAGCCATTATGGAAACTCAAACAAGTACTGCTTCAGCCCCATCAGGTTATGTAGAATCTTATCTCAAGTGAAAGCTGATATATTCATCTGCTTTGGCTGAAATTAAACTTATCATTAATCTAGAGTTTTAGCATGATATTGCAGGCACTTACCATTGCTAAAACTAAACCAAAGTTTAACAGAAGCAGTTAATACAATTTAAATTTTATTTAAGGAAGTGTTTTCTAATTATGCACATATCTACTTTCTACAAACACTTTATATGGCTATTTTTGAGAAAAACTTCACATTTTAATGTTTATGCTAAGGATGAACCTGAAAATTCTATTACCTTTATTTAAATTTTTAAAGGTAAATATTGATTCCTAATCTCTGTGATTTCTTTCTTCTCTCTGTCACTTCTTTCTCCCATGACCCCCTTGAAAGCAGGGAATAGAATTCTAGAATACCTGAGAGGGAAAAGATTTCTCTCTGCAGGAGGCAGCAGAAAACTGAAAGGTCAATTGTTTTATCTGCCTTTCTACTCCCCTTTCCAATTCTGCCTTGGTGGTCTGAAGAAGAAGAAAAATGTATGTATGTGTATATATGTGCATATATTTATATCTCCTGTTACAGTAATTCCACATCCTAGTGACTAAGTGAACTTTTTAGTCATCGTACTTACTTACCTATATTAACAAATTAAAATCATACTGCCATAAACAACATTAGGAGGAAAATAGGCTCTACGTTTTTCTTAAATTAATGAGAGAATAAGAATGTCACATAAATTTTCTATTATTTTAAAATATGCATTGAAGTAAGATGGTATAACTTCTCTGCAGTGCAATTTTAAGATTAATTCATGTAGACGACTATTGTAAAAGATTTCTTATGTGTATATATCTAATATAGAGAATCTTATTTCTCCTCTAAAGAGCATTGTAGACATTCAGAAAGAACAAAGGACTGACTTGGCAAATCACCCCTTGAGATGAAGGAAACAAGTAACCAGCAGCTCCCAGTTTCCTTTATACTGATGTATAATGATTAAAACTGCTGCCTTTTCCTCCAGTGCATTCTTACTTGGAAAAATACTTTTAAAAGCTCTGAAGCTGCTATAGTAGAAAAATCAAAAATAATTACAGTATCTGAGATTTTACAGTTTTATCTCAAGAAACACACATAGGCACATACAAATTTAAGGGGCATATCAATTTCTCAGTTTTTTAACAATAAAATAAAATAGTAGACTACTTTATGTAAATACTTAATGTGTGTATTTTTTACTTCACAAAATCATTTCTGAAATCTTTATGGTATGGCTTCTTTAAATCTTTTCATAGGTTTCTATTCTGTAGGAGAATGGTATTTTGAAAGGTTAACCCTCACTAAAATTAAGGGGTATTTGCCATACCATGTTATCAAACTGGTCAAGGTAGAAATACTAACATACATCACCTTTTCCAGGTGTGAACTTGCCTTATTTTATATTTTGTGGAAAAAGTAAAGTACTATTATTGATAAATTATATATTTGTATTTAGAGCAATCCCACATGCTTCTCACAAATATTATGAAGCCTTTTCAGGGTCTTTCATGAAGTTCCAATAACTGAGTTCAGGGAATTTCTTCACAGATTTATAATGGTCCTGCTCTAGCTATTTGCAGTCAAGATTTAAAAAGTAGCACCAAAAAAGTACATAGTGATGTTTCTAGTAATGAAACAGATTATACCAGGGGTCCCCAATTACCAGGCTACATACCAGTACTGTCCGCGGCCTGTTAGGAACCGTGGATGAGCCAGCAAACCTTCACTTGCATTACTGCCTGACCTCCACCTCCTTTCCTCCCCACCCCCCACCCTGTCCCTGGAAAAATTGTCTTCCATGAAACCAGTCTATAGTGCCAAAAATATTGGGGACCATGGGATTATACTAAAGTGTTTGGTTGAATTTATTACTACCACTTGTGAGAAGCGCCAGTTTATGAAGATTTCCTTTGGAATGATTTAAAAAATTACAAAACCCTTAAAATGATTACTAGTTTTATTAGTTTCTTTTGGCTGCTACAACAAATTATCACACACTTGGTTGCTTAACACATCAGATGTTGTGTTAACTCTCATAGTTCTGATGACCAGATATCTAAAACCAAAAACCATGCTCCCTCCAGAGGCTTTAAAAGAGATCTCTCCTTGCCTATAACAGTTTGTGGTGACTATTGGCATTCTTTGAGTTATGGCCACATCTCTCTGCTTCATTTTCATATTCCCTTCTCTGTGCACCTAATCTCCCTCTGCCTTGCTCTCATAAGGACACACTTAGGTGGCATTTAGGACCCACTCAGATAATCCAGCATAATTTTATCTGAAGGTCCTAAACATAATTACATCTGTAAAACCTTTTTTCCAAATAAGGTAACATTCACAGGTTCTGGGGATTGTGTTACAAATATTCCTTTTTTTGGAGATGACCCTTGGCCCACTGTAGTCTGCCCTCTGTCCCCCATTCCCAATTTAGGTCCGTCCCATATGCAAGATATCTTTACTCCATCTCAACATTCTCCCCAAGGCCTAACCCATTACAGCATCATCTAAGTTCAAAATTTCATCCAAACATTATCAGTTTAAAAGTCCCAAATATCATCATCTAGATCATCTAAATCAGGTGTAGGTAAAATTTCTGGGGCAAAATTCCTCTCCATCTATGGACCAGTACAAGAAAACAAGTTATCTGCTTCCAAAATACAATGGCAGGACAGGCATTGGAGAATAGTTGTGGACATTGGTATTTCAAAAGGGAGAAAATGGAATGTAGAAAGGAGTCATTTGTCCCAATCATTTGCAAAGTTCAGACAGCAAAATCCCCTTAGGTTTTAAAGCCTGACAAAAATCCTCCTTGTGTCAGGGCTCCAATCTTTAGGCCTGTAGTTCTGCACTCTTGGTCCATGGATTGAATCTCTCCCTCTCTGCCCATGGCTTTCACTTCTGCTTCTGCTTGCATGCTTGGGCCTCTGCCTCTGTACCTGCAGCTCTACTCTACAGGTGATCATTTACATTGAAGGGTAGCACACATTTGCTGTTTTATCACCCTGTTTGCTACCTGTAAAAGTTTAGCAGTCTTGACAACTTTATCTCATTTTGTCACATCTCTGTCCCTTTCAGACCAACCTAAAAGTGTTTCTGCTGGTATAACAGTCTAAAAAACTCTGTGAGCCTCCTGTGTATATCACATTGATTCAATAATGATACAAGAAAGTCCTCATGGATCTTTGCCAGATAACCCCATCTCTATTCCTGGCTTCTATTGAGATGGCTGAGTGGACCCATGCATAATTATTCTAGCACTAGCCACAAATCATCTAGCCACATGCTTGGCTTTATCTCCAAAGGACACTATGCTAACAGTGAATCTGCTAATGTTAGCATCTTTTACAATCTGAATAGGCTCAGAATTTCCTGAATCACCAAGTAGTGGTTTCTTTCTGCTTAACAGTTCTTCAATTTCTCTCTTTCCTCGTGTATTTTAATATAAGCTCAAGAAGAAACTAGACCATACCTCCAAGCTTGGCTTAGAAATCTCATCTAAATATTAAACTTCATCACTTTCAAATGTACTTTTCATACAACCATGGGAAACAATTCTGATAAGTCTTATGCTGCTATATAACAAGGATCACATTTCCTGTAGTTTCAGTGAAATGTTCCTCAGTTCCTTCTAAGCCCTTACCAGGAGAATCTTGAACATTCATATTTTTACCAACAGTTTATTTAAGGCAATCTGTGTTTTTTCTATCACATGCATCAGAATTTTTCCAGCCTTTACCTATTATTCAATTCCAAAGCCACATCTACATTTTTAGGTATTTGATATAGCAGGACCTTATTTTCTAGTACTAAATTCTGTATTAGTTTCCTGGGGCTGCTGTTACAAATTACTGTAAATGTTATAGCTTAAATCAACAGCTATTTATTCTCTTATTGTTTTGGAGGCAAAGAATCTAAAATTGAGGTGTTAGAAGGGCTATACTCCCTCTGGAAGCTCTAGGGGGAAATCTCTTCCTTTCCTCTTCCAGTTTCTTGTGATGGTCTGCTCTGATCAGTCTCTGCTCTGTCTTCACATCACTTTTCCCTCTGTGTATCTAATCTGCCTCTGTCTTTCTCTTAGAAGGACACTTGAGATGCCTTTTAGGGCCCACCTGGTTAATCCACAATAATCTCCTAATCTCAAGATCTTTAACTTCATTTGTGAAAACCTTTTTTTCTAAATAAAGTAACATCACAGGTTCTGGGAATTAGGACATGGACATACCTTTGGGGAGCCACCATTCAGCTCACTACAATAGTCATTGCATATAAATGTACTTTCCACTTTCTAAAATGCATCCTTGGTGCTCAAGCCAAATTCAAGGTTGTCTCTAAAAGCTATTGTCTGCACAGGCTACTGCATGCTTTGATGTTAAATGGCTAAACAGGCTATTCTAAAATCTGGTTGATACTTTTGCTTCTATGGCCAGTTTGCTTGAAAAAATAATTGGTTGCAATCCTTAGCTCATCTCTTCTGCCCCTTTTATGGAACCTTTGATCAAATGTCGTCTATGATGCATAATGCAGGCATAAAACTACCTCTGATACAGAAAGGTTCTTTACAAGCTTATTCTGGATATTGTGAATCCTTCAGCTGAAGGGAGAGGTGACAACAAAGCCTGCTTTGAATGGTACTGACAGATTGTGTCCATGCCAAAACACTCAGAAGTATTTCACTATCAGTAGAACTGTGGATTCATGCTCTCATATTGCCTTGGAATAAACACCTGTCTCTTTGCAGGACCAAGAATGACTTGCAATTTATATGTAATGCATACTTATTCAATAAAGTTAAGATATACATTAAATATTGTGCTGACTATGATAATTGATACTAAGGTTGAGTGAAAAGGCACAAACTCAAGTACTGAAACAGGTTGTAAGAATGTTCTAGAAAGATAAACTTCAACTGAACAGAAATTCAAGAGTGTTTCTATAAGGACCTGGTCAGGTGAAAATCATGGGATGTATTCAAAGACACACATACCTATGGGAATCATAAGATTTTCTGGAAGTGTTCTTCAGCACTGCTTGCCAGAATAGTGGAGAGATATTTGCACAACTTAAAAGTCCAGATAAGTCAAAAGGGTAATTTACATCCTCCAGAGAAACTGTTTCCACAGGAAAGGTTTTTATTTATTTATTTTTTGTCTCCATTATAGAATGAAAGTAAATGGGCTTCAAATGCTCAGAGGAGTAAAAATCTGGAACGAGTCATTTAGGATTATAGGTAATTATTCTCTGAAGGGCTTTCAAAAGAATTTCTCTTCATAGGTGGGCCAATGTGAAGATGAAGGGTTGTACAAAGTATAGCCAGGTCTATAAATGATAGAATCTAAAGTATCTGGCAAAACCATTGTTTCCCTTGGAATGGTTTGTTCCAGGAAATAAATACATAGGCTTTTTCTTCCCCAGAGGCCCAAATAGTCAAATTCCTTAGTGGAGAGTCTTAAGAGTATCCACAACTAGGGGAATTGGAGCTTAATGCCAAGATTTCAAAGGAGAGTGGTAACCTGAAAATTGATATATATATATGCAGTGCATATAACATGCAGCATAGTTTTGACTTATAATACAAAGAAAACTAGAGCCAAAGATACCATTTACAGACTGAATTTATTTAAATGTCTATAACTCTAATAGCCATGAATAAAATATTATTACAGTTAGCATCCATTGAAGGGAAAAACAACTCACAATTTCATGAATTATGCAAATTTTGATGTTGGCCCTACTTATTTCTTGGAGATTGGCCAGAGTTTAATTCTTAGCCATCATGGCCTCATATCTTGGCTAATAGAGGCTCAACCAATATTTTCACTTATATTTTGGCTAATTGACATCCAGGCATTTTCACCTTTTGATGTTTATGAGCAAAGCACGAGAGCTATTATCATGCAGTTAGAAATAGTAATAAACCTCAAGTTTCTCTACTTTGCTATAGCTTCCAATGTGGCTATTCTAATCACCTGAGTGTCCATTTCATGAGCATTGATTTTTAGGACACAATTATTAATTAAACATAGCTCATGACTTCAGGGATTTCAGTATAGTGGGAGATGGGATAGGTACAAAAAGAATTGTAATTCAAAGTGCCAAGAAATAGTATCAAGAAGGCCTATGAGAGGTCAGACAAAAACAAACTACTTATATTTAGAGAGGTGAGGTGAGGTAGGTATTAAGGTGGGAGGCAGGTGTTAATACAGATATTTTGGCAGGATGACATTTGAACTGAATTTTAAAGGGTAAGTTGATTTGGAAATGTGGTTTTATTAATTTAGTCAATATTTAATGACCATGTACTGTATGCCAACCACAATGCTAGAGTCTGAGAACATAAAAGTGAACCAGATAGATATAGTCCCTATTCTCATGCAGCTTACTCAGCTTTTTGAGGAAGGAGGGCAGGCATGAGCAGAAATACAAACTTTGATATGCATATGCAAGGAACATTGAACAGTTCATTTTAACTGGAGTATTATGCCCATGAAAGGCAGAGTGGTCATGTGGTTTGGGCTTGATTTTATAAATGGTAGGGAAATACCAAGGGGTTTTGAGGAAAGAAATAATATGGAGTACTTAAGGACGATGACACTGGAAGGTCTGCATAGGACAGAGAGGGGAGAGATCACAAAAGGCCCGCTTTGTTGGGGGCTCTTGCCAAAATACTTTTGGTAAAAAATGAGGGCCTAAACAAGGGTAGCATCAAGGAGGCAGGTCCAAGTGGCATCTAAAGAACTGGCAATTAAGTAGATGTTGAGGGTATGAAGAAAGGGAGGATTCAAATCTGACATCAAGGTTAAGAGAATAATTGAACACAAGAAGAATAGCTCCTCTTTGCAGTTGTGATACCATGGATATGCACAGCTGCAGGTCTGGCACTTGATACAATTCTATTATCTGTACTGTTGAATGGTTCATACAAGTTTTATATACAAGGAACATTAAGTCATAAAGACATAGCAGACAGGAGAACATGATTCTGCATAAGAACGTATTCAGTGATATTATAGTGATTATGGTAATAAAAGAAAAAGGAATTTCTCTAGGTTACATTTTTTCCTTTCCTTCTTATTCTCCTTATCTCTCACTTCCCCATTCCCTTCTCTTTTCTTTTTACTAATGCTGCAAAGCAAAACATTGAATGGCTGTTCAAAGAAACAAAGAACTGACGAAGACTGAGTGGACATTAAAATGTACTGATTCACTGTTGGCCTCAGTGACAGGAAAGGCATTTAGATGAAGTATAATTTATGGAAAAAGCTCCAATTAATTCACAACTAGGACTTCTTAAATGTCTGGTTTAGCCAGACATTTTAAGCCATACATTTAAGAGGTTGTTGAACAATAATTACTCTCTAGAAGAGCAACAAATTCTCCCATTTTATTATTTTCCTAGGACTCTGTCAGACTTCTAAACTGTGCCCAAGTCTATTCTTTTTAGGCTAAATACCTTTCTATTCAAAGAATCATAAGCTTTCCTTTCTCAATACATTTAACTGCTGGGTACATGTGACACTGAATGGCTTTCTTTTAGCAAATATTAGCTTGTTTGGGAGGAGTGACTGGTTTATAAATCTGCTTCATCTCCCTCCTTATTCCTACAAATATCTTTTGTTATTGTCTCTCCATTTTCCTACAAACAACTGAATATCACAATGGGAATTAAGTTGAAAATACTCAAATACTATGAATTTTTTCTAAGAACAGTCTTGGGAAACCTATCACATGTAATAGTAGAGTGGCCTAAGCTTGATGAAAAAAATCAGGTAGACTGAACAATTGGTAGCATTTATGGTGGTGCTTTGGGGGATGGAGGAAAGGGCAATGCAAGGAGTCATGAATAAGACTCCATAGCAGAATTCAGTATAATAATAAAAATGAAAAATGTCTTTCAGATGTCAATGGTCCTTTGACTCCACAGCATCTGGGATGAAAAGCCAACTTGCTGTGACCTTATATTGTGTGGAGCTTTGTACTTCTGAAAGAACTTTCACTCTTCATATGCATTATTCCAGCATCTTGTTTCCTCTCAGTCTACAAGCACCCTCAAATTTCCTCCATCCAATTAAATAGGAACTTCCTTGTGAATCACTCATTGAAGGCTACTATTGGCCATCTGATTGCCAATTCCTATTAATTCCTCTTAATCCTCATCCTACTTACTTTCTCCAACACTTCCACAAGGTACACGTAGCCCTGTATACTCCCACCACTTAGAAGACTCTTCAGTTCCCTTTATTTGTGGTTGTCTTCACATGATACCTAAATATAGGTGGCATCTCCTTGTGTTCATTTGTATTCTCCCCACAGCTAAGGTCATCTTAGCCATTTACATGGCTTTGACAATTTCCTACCAGCAGATGACTCTGAAATCTCTCCTGAATCCCAGAACCACTAAACTCAGTATATTTCCAACCAAATATATTCTCCAGCAAACCAATCATTTTATTCAGGTTGTCTGTCATTATGGGCACTTCATTTTTCCCAATATTTTAGGCTAGAAATGACAGCAGCATCTTGTATTATTCCCTCTCTCCTAATATCCAGTGAGGTACAGAAGTTGGTCTCCCTGTTTCAGTCCTTTACCTCTTCAATCCATCCTTCACACTGCTAGAGATTGCTTCCTAAAATGCCTTTTTTGGCCTTCTTCAAAAGTTTTAATTTTTCCCCTTAATTAAAATTAGTATGGACTTCAAAGGTCCCAGAAGCAGACTCACACATAACCTTCAAGCCTTGTCACCATCCCTCCAGTCATGGAACTTGCCAATGGTAAAGAAACACATATGATTACATCCCCAACATGTATATACCTTTCATGCCATTTTATGTACATACAGCTTAGTCTGGTATGACCACACTGCCCAACTTCAAGGAGCAATGCCACCTTTCCAAAGCCTGCCTTAATGCTCCTTCCTCCATTAAAATAAATAGTGTTATCTATGCTCCCACAGCAATCTGTACATACTCCTATTACAGCCCTTATTTCATTCTGCCTTCTACTAGAGTTGGCTGTCTGTGTCCTTGACTAAAGTATAAGTTTCTTGATGATGATAACTGTCTCATTCATCTCTGGGCCTTTACACAAAGCCACTGCTCAATGAAGTAATGTGTAGTGTCAATTCTAGGTGAATTAAACAAATGAAGAATGTTTGGTAAGATAATGGAAAATCATAGCTGATTTCCTCATCCAGGTGAGAGCATAGCCTTCATTATTGCCCTGGGAACTGCGGGCCAGTCTAAGGTCAATGTTGAGGACAAGCTCCCCAACTGTAGATGACTGGAAGTTGATTTTAAAAGAGTGCTTTCAGGAGTTGATAACTGAAGACAAGGAGGAAGGTTTTCTGTCCAAGATTGAGCTTTTAACAAGTATCTGCAGTGTACACTGAGGGGTTTGGCTGTATTCCAATTATGCTAATATGTTTTATATATGGGCCACCAGCATCCAGGAATCACCTCCCTAAACAATTTAGTAAGTGTAACTATCAAGGCAGAGTTGTAAATGCAGAACTTATTTGTAATGTAGCAACCTTGTTATTATCAAATGTCATGGGGTATAAGTCACAGCAATTATGCTGCCCACTTTTTACTATATTTATTTTACTTTTTAAAAGTGCAGTATACTCCTACAAGCTTCTAGCCTGGCTGTGTGTTCTAGAGTTACAGAAGGCAGGAACTATAGGGTCACAGAATTAATACGCTTCCCTGATAGTAAAGGGACCTCATGGGTCATTGACTCCACCCACTGACACAATATACGCAATATTAGACTTCAGGTTTTGGGAACTCGTGGGTTTCTCCATAAAAG